AGGTCTAGGACAACACACCTTTCTTTTTTTTTATATCGAAACAGCCGCGCAGGCAGAAGCCTAAATGCCGGAACACCGCGGCTGCTATGATGATCCCAAAGAAATTTTGTTGTTGAATCAAGTCCGGACCAGAAGCTTTGTTGATGTCGAGTGACAAGAGCACTCGTCTTACGGTCTTATGCCTGAATGTTACCTCCCGCATAGTGTGGGGAACCCTTTGAATTGACGGCACTTGGGCATTGGTGGGGACGTCCATGGTGGAGTTGGCAGCAAAGATCTTGGCTAGCACTTCCGCCTTGGCCTTTGAGTCGAATACAATAGTTCCATCCTGACACATAAGTGGTGGGAGGCTACTGTGTGAGAAGTTCTTTTCAATCTGCTTGGCCAGCGTCCAGAAAGACCGACTGCCATTGCGCTGCGACATTACCCTGTGTCTAACTTTTATATCATGCTGGTTTTTGGCATTGCGAACCGCTTCGTTATATTTGTTTCTGGACTCGACGTCGGCTTGTCTGTTCTCTACAGTGGGGTTTTGTAAGTAGGTTCTGTGGGCCTTGATCTTCTGCTGGCGAGCAGTGTCACACGATTTGTTGAACCAGCCGTTGGACCCTGGTTTAGGAACTTTCACTGTGTGAGGGATGTATTCCTCCATTCCGACGTGGATAATTTCGGTTATTGAAGAACAGACAGTCGACGCATCCGCGTCAGTGAAAGCTAGAGAAGAAGTCTCTGTGCCCCTCCCAGTCGGCATGTCCGTAATGCCAAGTTTTGCGGCCTGTGCGAGTTTCTGCTGCCACAGCGGCTTCTGACCAAAACCTAACCTCCACAACACCGTGATCTGAGTTACCCAGGGGGGACAGGACAGCAGTGCTGTAAGGGGCAGGATGCGTGGTCAGAAAGAGATCCAGCAGGCTACTGGCGTGTGACGAGACGCGGGGGAAAAAAGTAGGGCTCGTCACCAGCTGGGTCAGCCCTTGAGTAAGAGCGAACGCTTCGACTGCATGACCTGCTGCATCGGTCTTATTTGAGCCCAACCAAAGCTCATTGTGGGCATTGAAATCACCGAGAAGAACTACCTCTGAAGCGGGGTGATTGATGTTCAGGAAGTCGATCTGGACGGCGAGGTATTCGAGTAGGTCATCCCAGTTATGGTTCGAGGGAGAGCGATAAAGGCAGCAAATAAATTTGGGTGATGTTTTGGAGTTGAGGCGAAGCCACAGAATGTCCTTCCGGTCTGATTCCAAAGAAAGATCCCTGGAGCAGGAAAGACTGCTGCGGACAAAAGCCACAACTCCCCCGTTCTTTCTCAGATTGGAGTGCACCTCGTAGTTTGGGAAGTTGAGATGGTTAGTCGGTGCAGTCTCTGAGATTTTTGTCTCCGCCAAGAAAAGCACGGCGGGACGATTGGATTGCAGGTAGTGATGAACAGCATCAATGTTGCTGTTAATCCCGCAGATGTTCGAAAAACAAATTTTATCTTCGATGTTGTTCCCTCGAGCCCACCCTTCACCCGGACATTCCGAGAGTGGAGTGAGTTTACGTCCGGAAAACGTCCGTTCTGGAAAAATCCTATAATTTTAACAAATAAAGATTTGCGGATGTTTAAACTTGACGCCTTTAGGCACCGTTCTTAAGGTGAAATATGGTTTGGCATGAATATTGGCATGAAGACGCAGTCAGTTGTACGGAATTTGTCGTCTTATTAGATATTTGGAGATTTTTTAGAACCTACAAAATGTTTTAGACGAAGCGAGTAAATATGCTTGAAAAGTTAGTAATAATTATTTTGTCGGTGAAACATTTTTTTCTCTTCAAGGTATTGTATCTACAAATTTTTGAATGAAATTCACCGTCTAGTTCACAAATAATATTAAATCTTTACATGGGCTCTTTGGGAAACTCGATACGTTTCCGTATTATTTGCATATCCTGAACAACTAATTTATGTTTAAAAGAGTGATTTTATGAAACTTCAAAGGCGCTGAAGCGTAACTTTGAAGTTTTAGACAAATCCACAATCTTGTTTTTGAAATATTTAGCTGGAAGTTATTAGATATACCCATGGTTTCTGTCAAACTTATGTTTCCAGGTATTTTATAAACAAAAATGTTTTAAATTTTCTTACCATCGAAATCTTATCTGCAACATTCGAAGGTAGATCCTTTATTTTGATATTGGAAATATAGTATAGTAAAATTAGTGAAAATGAGTAGCCGACGTGACTTAATTATTCCGTGGACACTCTGCAAATCTTTTTTTCTGGGTACGCAATACTTATTTCTACCGTGCCCTGGTACCAGACCATTTCACTTTTATCTCGGAGGATGATTGGTTGTCAAAACTGATAAATATTCGCTCATTCTTCCAAAACAATCATATTGAAAATTGGTTGAAAAAGCAGAGAAAAGTACTCAAAACCGGACTTCCATTCTGTTATCAAAACAAAACAAAAATATATGAAAAACGACTAGACTTTAAAAGTGTTCAGTGTTTGTTCAAGCATCATTTGATTTACACATTCATAATTCGTATTCGAAAATTACACTGCGTAACATGATTTCGGTAACCGCAAACCAAATTGCTTTAGTTTTCTCCTTAGTTACTGTAAGTAGGCAGTGGATATCTTTTGTTTCTGTCACGACTTATTTTCGAGTTATACACCGGACTCGTTTTTTAGTAGATTCCTCTAATAACTATTTTAGTAAAAGGTGCATTTAAATTAGAGCGAACACGAGCGAACGAACGAAGGAACGAATTTGGTCTTGTTCGTTCGTTCGTTAGCTCGCTACCTGTTTGAGGCATTTTTATATGTACGAATATTTGCATTCGCGGATGTTCCGTTGTTCTGTTTTCGAACTCCATGTCGGACTCTGTTGACGATATAATTATTAGTGCTAGTTTTATTGTTATGGCAGGTTTGACGAAGAAAAAAAGAAAAAAGAGGGAATGGTCTTCAAATTTACTGAAAAAAAGAGACACTGCAGGAGGAATAACAGACCTTACAAGCGATAATCTGGGACAATTGAATAACTTTTGCAGAATGTCTTCAACTGATTTGGAATATTTGCTAAATTTGATTGGTCCAATCATTTCAAAAACGGACACTACATTCAAAAAGGCAATATTACCAAAAGAGAAGTTATTACTAACGCTCCGTTTTTTGGCAACAGGAGATTGCTATTCGAGTTTAAACATTCTTTGGTTCTATATAACTCAATGAGTTGTAAAGTTTTATCATTTGTCCATTCCATGTTTTGCAAGACGTAACCACACACAAAGTAGTTAAACAGTACACGTTTAGTAGGCCGAATTCATTCGCGTATGTTCGCAAGTACAAGAAACGTCGTTTACATTGAGCGCGAACATCCTTTGATGATTCGCTAGTTTACCGACACGCGCTGGAACATGTCCGAACACGAACGAATTCGTTCGAGTGTGTTCCATTCGCTGTTTAAATACACTGATCTTAACGAACAAATTCGTTCGTTCGCTCGTGTTCGCTCTAATTTAAATGCACCTTAATAGCTGATAAATTCAGAAATTATGTCATATATACATATAGGCGGTCGGTATGGACGTAGAATACCGTCGATGTTGGTTTTTTGACAGTTTTTTTGACTGATAGTAAAAACTTAAATATCCGGGATATGGTAACACATTATATACACAACTGACCAAAAATTAAACATCATACACAGGACCGCATTAAGGGGGGTCTTCTGTGTAACATTTTTTCCTCCAGGACTTCATTAAAAAGTTGCGAGGATTTGAAGTTTAAAAATAAAAAGATACTTTTAACTTGACTTTTACAAGAAAAAATTGTAGTAGTAACGATAACAACCAACGTCAAGTTGGTATCAAGGCCTTCTATTTTATTTTGAAACTAATTATATCTGGGTTGTTGATGAATGATCTAATTTGTTTTTTGTTATCTTTGCGAAATCAATGCACTCTAGGTAAAAACAGAAGAGTAGGTACTTATTTGTAGCAAATAGAAAAAAACAGTGGCGTACTATATTTATTTGGAAAAATAATATCACTAATCGCATGTATCTCCGCCACTAATGCACGTTAATTTTAAGTAAAGTCTTTTGAATGTGGGCAATACTTAGGTAAATGCACATACCAAATTTTAGTTCAATCCAGTTGACGGTTTTGAAGATATTAATTTTTTTTTATTTTCAAACTTCTTTTTAATCACGCTCTCGAGGCAAAAATGTTACATAGAAGACCCCCCCTAAAAATGCGGTCCTGTGTATGATGTCTCATTTTTGGTCACGACTTGTGAATCACCCTGTATAGACATGGTGATTGTCATTTACATTTTTCAAATATAGTTTGAGAAAACCAAAAGTCTGCCAATTTTGGCCTGAAAAACAAGGTTGAAATCACTTTAAAATAAACCAATCTAAATTACTCTTCACGGTCTTGTAGAGCAAGGTTTTAAGTTCAATTTAGATACTTGGCATCTTCCAAAATTAAAAACTTTAACCAAGTTTTTTAGCTCTGAATATACCCGCACGGTAACCTAGATCAAATTTCTTTAAACAATTTTATTAAATAAATTAGAATTTTTTCTGGTCGGGCGCCTTTTTTCAGCTTTTTTGGATCATTCCGAAAAAAAAGGCTTCCTTCAACTTTTCTCTTAAGCCGAACATTTGCGTGTTACAAGCGAATGTCTGAATAGCCCAAAAAATTGGTATATTCAATGCTTGGAAATACTGTTAAAATTTATAATTCTTGAGCTCGCCAAGTATCTAAATTAAAGTTTAAACCTTGCTTTACAAGACCCCGAAAATTGTTTTGAGATCACTTAATTTTAAAGAAATTTTTAACCTTGTCTGTTAGGCCAGAAAGTTCGCACTTTTAATTTTTTCAGACTGTACAGTCTGATTCCGTTGATGCCAGGAACTTTGTTTTTAGATGTGCGGCCAATGGTAGGGCAGGAATTTTATCTAAAATCGTCTCGCTAGTTCTACCTTAATTATTTGATTTTCCAGGGAATAAAAATGAGAAGAGAAGTGCAACGGAGGATAGGACTGATAGAAGTTCAAGATCAAATCGCAGTCCTAACGTATCTGAGGGACACGTTCAAGTTTATAGATAGAACCAAGATATGCACAGTTGGAAAGGGCTATGGAGGTTTCGTTGCAACTATGATGCTGTTGCAGGATTTCCACCAGGTCATGAATTGTACCATCAGTATCTCGCCTATTACCAACTGGAGATTCTTCAGTAAGTAACAATTCAATGCAAAGTTGTGATAGATATTATTTTAGAGAGTTTTTTCGGCAAATATGAAAGAAGCTATATTTATACACGACCATGCGCATAGTGATTCAAGTCATGAGGTTCTAGGACTTGGCCAAAACTAGAAAGATTCACTAGATATAAAAAAAAACTCACTACATGTCTTCGTAGTCGATTTGTCAAAAATCAAAGTGGCGGATCCAATAAGGAGGACATGTTTGGATTACGCTCAAAATAACGAGTGTTGCACGTTTTTGAGGTAGCTGATAACGAATTAGATATCGATTTTTGTCGATGTCAAAATGGCGGATACATGTAGGACATGTTTGCTTCTTCTCATTTTAGCGTTTTTGAGACAGACATTCACTTCACTATAATCCCGCATGCAGAGCCATCTAGATGGAACTAATCTTAACAAAAGATGAATTATGCATCTGCAACTGTAAACAAAATATGTAGTCTAGAACGAAAATATTTTTTTTTTAATTTGCGGCCAGGCTTTTTTTAGGTCGTGAGCCATTGGAGGGCGCTCTTTTATGCCCTAGGCTGACAAAATAGCTTTCACGTCCGCTATGCTTGAATTAACCCATATGTTAGACACAACCGAGCGTCTATAGGGATTGTCCGACGGCGTAATATTGGTAACATAGTAGTGCAGTTCATTTATTTACTTTTAATTCTTCTTCAAGATGCCTTAATTTTTTTTAGCCGACCATGTCACTAATTACACCAAGCACCTGATATAAAATCTCTACATCATTGAACTTTAACAAGTTTGCCTACAACTATGTGATTTTCGATTCACTTGGGAACAACAGGGATAAACATAGAGAAAGGAAGTACGGGAAATGGTATCAAAGAAATACGGTTACCTATTCTTACGCCCTTTTACCCGACTGCCTTGAAAGGAGGATTGTTTTTCGCGCGCATGTATGTGGGCGAACGAAGAGCCAAAGGGCTTGGATTTTTAAAATAATATAAGGCATAGTCGGATGCGTCTTAGCAGTGAGAATGACATTAGGTATAATAGAAGTTTATCAAACTAAAATGGCGCTCTTTGATAAAAAGTGGATCGAATAATAAAATCTTTTCTTTGCAGTTGAGTCGAGTTGTTTGTATTTTTTTTAAAAATCTATAAATTACGTCAACCGAGTTTATTTGCGTTTCAGATTCCTACTTCACCGAGAAATACCTTGGCTTTCCATCGAAACATCTCCAGGAATACGACAACGCCGATTTGACCTTAAAGGCGGTGAACCTGAACGATCGCCATTTCTTATTGATTCACGGAACAGCTGACACCGTCGTTACTCCGCAGCACTCTATGATGTTGGCAAAGGCTCTTATCGAGCAAGACATCCTCTTCCAGCAGTTGGTGAGTCGACCGTAGATAATCCACACGGAATAATAATATAGAGCGGATTAACGAAGACAGAAGCGTTAAAAAGGGTAGAATTAGATTCTAATTTGAAATGCGTGTGATGCCCGTGTGTCCAATTTTAATATTTTCGACACACATTTTTTTAATCATTCACTGTTACATTTTCAAGAAGCTTCCCACTACCTACTTTTTGAACCGGTCAAGTTGGCAAGCTGAAGTCCGAGGTGAAATTGCTGGATAGTAAAAGTGGTTGCTGAAAATTTGAATATTCCGGCTGCGCGCCCTTTTGGAAAACTTTCTTAAATTGAATGTGGCGTCACGTGGTACGTTACTTTGTAAAACTATAATATAACATCGCTATTTTTCAAAATGGCGTAAGGGCAGGCAGTCAATGTTGAGCGTTTTCGTATATTCGATCGTTTATAACTACACAACTAATCATGAAAACGCTACAAATCTCCTTCTCTTGGTAAACATGTAATACAGTATACAGGGTGTTTCAGAACTAAGGGATCAAACTTCTAGGAGTTATTCAGTGTAACAGTAGAACATATTTGAGTATAGGGACCCATATCCGGCGCTTGTGTGTTGTTATCTTTAAAAACGATAACAGAGATTCTTTTTTCTCAATCCCCCATTTTTTTATTAAAAGATTACTATTTTGGTTGTATTAGTTTATTATATCTAAATTACGTATTGATTTGGCTTTGTTGAAGAACAAAGCGTCCTCCTCCTTGCGCGCATTGGAGCTTACTGAACGGATTTTTTTTTTTTGGTGAGGGGGAATGCGTTTACGCACCATACCATAGCCCGAGCTACGGCGTGAGTGGGACTCCAGGTTGTCCACCTAATACCCACTAAACCCTAAACCTCCGCGTGGCCCGACTCATCAGCGTCTCGGTAGGCCATGTGTTGTGCGTGAGCTGCGGTCTGCTACAACGTCTCCTCATGTGTTTCAGTCTCTGGGAACGCCGGGTTGGTTCCCTTTACCTCGCACATTCTATCGATGTCGTTAAGCGATCATCGATAGAGGGTCTGCTAGGTTCTCTTGAAACTCTTGTTTTCGAAAAATCAAGAGTTTCAAGTCGTCTTACCAATATGTTGTTCCTGGTCCTGGTCCTGAATGGTCCTGGTCCTGGTGGGTCCTGGTCGTGGCGGGTCCTGGTCCTGGTTGGTCCTGGTCCCGGTGGTTCCTGGTCCTCTGCATCCACGCCGTGGGGGGAGGGAGCAACCGCGGGTTCTCCTAGTCTCCTAGTCAAGGTTCCAGTTAGCGGGTGCCAACTGGGACCTTGGTCTAGGGTACCTGGTTCTGCGGTTGCGAGGCCTCTCGTCCGGATCGTAGTCCATGAGGAATCGTAGCTGCTCGTTCGGGTGGTCCTGAGCTTTCTCGAAGGTCTTCTCCGCTTTTTTCATCATGTACTCGTGGATGGTGTCCCAATGCAGGTCTCTACGCGAGGTTGAGTTTCTTACGTAGGATGGTGCACTGGTGGCGATCCGGAGTAGCTTCATCTCTAGAGCAGCAAGTCGCTTGCGGTAGCTAGGGGTAGCGTACCCCCAGACCGCGGAGGCGTAAGCGAGCTGAGGTCTGGCGATGGCCTTGATCAGCCGTAGCTTGGTCGCTAGCGGCATCCGGCAGTGTCTACCCAGTAATGGGTAGAGTTGAGCCATGGCTGCTCTGGTCTTTGCGATGACAGCTTCTATGTGGGCTTTCCAGGTGAGGAACTTGTCAAATACGATCCCAGATATTTGACTTTGTCGCTCCACTGGATATCTTCGTCGAAGATGGATGCTTCGAGGGGTCTTGCAATCCTTCTTCGTTGAATGAAGATTGCCTGCGTCTTCTGGACGTTGATGCGGATTTTCCATTTCACGCACCAGTCCTGGATGTGGTCCAGTTCATCCTGTAGTCTCCTACGGATGATCTGGGGTCGTCTATGCTTGGCGGCTATAGCAGTGTCGTCTGCATATAGGGCCAGCATTGTGTCAGCTGTCTTCGGCACATCGTGAGTATAGATGTTGTAGAGCAGGGGGCTAAGGCTGACCCCTGGGGCACGCCTGCTTCCAGCTGTCGTCTTGTTGAATGGCATGTACCAATCTTCACCGTGAACCATCTTTGTGTTAGATAGCTCTGGATCAGTTGGCACATGTTCGCATCGATTCCGGCGGCTTCCATTTTGGCGATGAGTCCATCGTGCCAAACTCGATCGAAGGCTCGTTCCACGTCCAGCAGGACGAGACCGGTTGCCTCCTGGAGATTGAAGCCGCTGGTGATGTTTTCCGTCAGTCGTAGCGCTTGGAGTTCCGTGTTGTGGGAGGATCTGAAGCCGAATTGCTCTGGGGGGAGAAGTTGCAGTTCTTCTGCCTGCTTCTCTAGTCGAATGGCGATAGCCTTTTCGACTACTTTGCCCATCGAGGAAACCAGGCTGATGGGCCGGTAGTTCTGGGGCAACTTCCGGTCCTTGCCTGGCTTGGTGAGCATTATAACCTGGGCTTCCCGCCACCGCCGCGGGAAGTGGTCAAGTCTCAGAGTGGCATTGGCGATGTTGGTGAGCGCAGCAATGCCTTTGGTGGGAAGGTTCTTCAGCATCCTATTGTTGATGCCGTCCCTTCCCGGCGCCTTTCTGACCTTCAACCTGCGGATGATCAGACGGATTTCCTCTGGACTGGAGGGGTGATCCGTCTCCTGGCCAGGTGGTCGACTCCTCAGGATTTCGGCCTCGACCTCCACGGCCTCCTCGTGGTTGTCGTCCTCGTCTTCATGGTAATTGAGTCTGCATTCGGATTCTAGCGAATCGGCGAATGCTTCGGCTTTTTCTTCACTGGAGTAGGCCAAGCCGCGTTAGCCGTGAAGAGTGGGGATCGTGATGCGCTGACGACGGAATTTTCGCTGCATAGTCCAGGCCGTACCATCCTGGGTCTCTAGTTCTGCACAGACTGCATTCCATCTGCTGTTTTGGAGTTCCGCGAGTGCGTTCTTCAGAGCTAGCTATGCTCTGTTTCGCGCAACTCTCGACTCCTCTGTCAACAGCTGGAGATGTTCTCGCTTGAGTCTTCTGTTCTCCCTGATCAGGTGCCTAATATGGTGCGGTGCTGGACCATTTAGGTGTCTAGGAACTGCCGTAGTCTCGGAGCGGGTGCTGTCCTCGTGCGCTCGCAGGACAGCATTCTCCAGCTCCTCTACCGCGTTGTCCAGTTCCTCCGCTGATCGGATGGTTGGAATTTGAGTGATGTTCCTTTGGACGTTGGATTTGTACAGGTTCCAGTTCGTCCGTTTGGTGCTCAAGCTATCTTGAGTTCTAGACCCTGTGCCGAGTGTTAGTAGAATCGAAATGTGGTCCGACGATCCTTCCACCAGGGTCTCTATCTCGAACTCCTCTCTGATGTTGCGAAGGATGGTTATGTTCAGTACCGCCGGTCGCCCGAGGCCGAATGGAATGTAGGTTGGTTGCTCCGGACCGACGATGACCCCCGCCAGGGCATCGACGTGTTCTTGGAGCTGCCTTGCATTCCTGTCTTCGACGTTGTTGTTCCATGCCGGAGATTTGCAGTTTAGATCTCCGATGACTATGCGCGCTCCTGGGCCTCTCAGGAGGTCAGCGATGTCATCTTCGTCTAGGGCCTCCCCTGGTGGCACATATAGGGAGGTGATCCTGTAGGGACGGTGGTTGTGATGGACCTGGACCGTGATTCCGTCCCCATTGATGTCTGCGGCATCGTCGAGGACATGACTCGTCAAGGTACGTTTGACGAATAATGCGACTCCTCCACCTCTGCCTCTTCTGTCGTAGCGGTACGTCTCGTACCGCGGGAACGTCAGACTATGGGCAGCATCCAATTTCGTTTCTTGGATGGCCATCACCTCTGGTTGGTACTGGTCTATTATCTCCTGGATTTCTGGTTTCCGTGCCCTGAATCCATTGATGTTCCAGGAGATAATGCGTAGAGATTCTACGTTTTGCCCTGTAGTCATTTCGGGTCTAATGCTTGTCTTGCATCTTGGCCTCGAGTGCATCCAGGCGGATTATGATGGCTTGCATCATTGCTAGCAGTCTGTCATCGCCGTGTTGCTTCTGCGCAGTAGTTCCAGTAGCAGTGGCGGCTGCTGGGGCAGAAGTGGACATAGGTTTCTTCGCTTTTTGAGCGTAAGAGGTCCTATTTGTGGTGGGGACTGCTTTGGGGGCAGAAGCAGCTTTCCTCGGGGCCTTACTACATCCCTTGTAGTTGGCGGGGTGGCCTTCTCCACAAAGGGAACACTTGGCGTTTCGTTGCCCTGTTGGCGGCGCTGACAGACTGCAGCTGGTGCTGCTGTGGTCCTCTCCACACTTAACGCACCGTTCAGCGAGACGGCAGTTCCGCTGTGTGTGCCCGTACCGCTGGCAGCGGTAACATGGGCTGGGCTCGGTAGACTTTTTCTTCCTCTCGAAGCTGACCGTGAGCATGGCCAGCCTCTGGGACTCTGCAAGCTTTTCCGGCATCTTCGTCTTGACGAGGAAGAGCGGAAGTGGCTTCTTGGTGGTCCTTGAGGTCATCTGCTGAACCTCGGCGTCTGCGATGCCTTGGCTCACTAGATCCTCTTTGATGTCATTGACTGACATCTCCCAGGGTAGCCCACGAATGACCCTCTGGTCCATCCTGTCCTCCTTCAGTTGATAGGTGAAGAAGGGCCGCTTGATGGAGTCCAGCACTGCGACTAGCTGACGGTAGTCAGCTGGTGTATTTGTGAACACCTTCACACTGTTACCTTGGAGAATTGGATCCCCTTGCTGTTCATCATCCTGCTTAAGGATGACCAATCAGCGGTGCCCTCGATATTGATTGGCGGAACTCCTGTTCCTGCCATGGGGGCCTCGGTGGTTCTGGTTGCTCTAGGACCTCTCTTCTTGGTGGCAGCTGGCATCTTTGGCTGCCTGGATGGTTCTTCTTCTTCGGAGGAGGAGGAAACTCTCACTCGTTTTCTCCTCCTGGTGACGACACTGAAGTCTGCGTCATCGGTC